GATGGATGGATGGATGGATGGATGGATGGATGGATGGATGGATGGATGGATGGATGGATAGGTAGGTAGATAGGTAGATAGATAGATAGATAGATAGATAGATAGATAGATAGATAGATCCTTGTACCTTTTGCAAATTCATTGCCGATTCTGTATTCTTTCCAAAGCTTTCAGATGCTTTTCTAAATCTGTAAGACACTCAGAGATTAGGAAAACATAATGAAACTTTTCATCAGAGAGAAGGCAGGATCTCTAAAGCACCACACTGTCTGACTTGAACAATTGATCTATCATTTTGCTGCTAAGGAGATCCTAAAGAAACATAACCAAGAACTCGAGCATATTACAGTATACCATTGACTGTGTGTTAGTTGGAGTTCTCTAGAGAAAAAAAATAGAATGAATATATATGTATATGTACAATACTCATATACATATATTCTATATTTATTCATATGTATGTATGGTTCAGATTTAGGGTGGGTCTTCTGACCTTGCATGATCCAAGGAAATCTTTCATAGGTGCCCAGATGCTTGATTTTTAGGTAATTCCAGATGTAACGAAGTTGACAACCAAGAATAGCTGTCATGGCTTGTATTGATTGTTCTGTTAAAACCTTAATGCTACAGTCATGATCCAGCCACAGAGCAAGTCAGATGTCTTGACTGGAAAAAGGTCCCCATAGGATTATCAACACTCCCACCCAGCAGGAAGTAGCCTGGAAAACTATGTCCACATTCCCAAAAATGGACTATAAATATCTTTCTTTGTTTAGAATGTTGGTTACAGGTTGTTATGGGTAATGGTCAGGAGAAAAGATAAACAAAGGATAAAAGGAGGAAGTGCTGTGGGACAATAGTCTGTACCCTATCATTTATATTTTAAATAAATGCTGATTGGCCAGTAGCCAGGCAGGAAGGATAGGCAGGACAACCAGGCAGGAAGTAGAGGTAGGGTGATGAGAATGGGAGAATTCTGGGAAGAGGAAAACTCTTTCTGCAGTCGTGATCCAGCCACAGAGCAAGCAAGATGTGACTGCCTTGCTGAAAAAGGTACCAAGCCACGTGGCTAGCATAGACAAGAATAAAAGGCTAATATAAGTTGTAAGAGTTAATAAGAAGTAAGAAGCCTGAACTAATGGGTCAACCAGTTCATAACAACAACAACAAAAAAAAAAACCTTAATGCTGAGTGCAGCAGAGTAGATAGGAAGTACTTACCTTGCATAGCTTTCTGTAATTCCAGATGGTTCTCCCTGGGCTGTCCAGTTTCTTCATCCTGAGGCACTGCCACAACACTGCTGCACATATCCCAACCTGGAGGAACTTGCTCACACAGCACCACCCAGCCCAAGACCAAGGGAAAGTAGGGTGTGCTCATCTATGCCTCCCCACCCCAGGTCTGACAGGGTCTGAACCTGTACCACCTGTCTACTGGCCAAAACTGCCTTTTGAAAGGATCTCAGGAATGGGCAAATGACTCTAATCCCAGAAGATCAATGTGCACTACATATTCTGGGGGAGTAATTGCTGACTCCTGTGACAAGCTTAATCCTTTGTACCTGTATCACTCTGTCTCCATGTCTGGGCACCAATGTCTCTAATGCTCTTGGGAGTCTCCAGTAACCAAAGAGCATGTGGTTCCAGCACCTGCCGAGGTCTAAGTAGTCTGTGCACTAATCAGGGATGGATAGATCTGCAATTCGTGGGGTTTTAGCTCTCACTATTCAATACTCACCTGCAGGGATTGTGGCCATCCCATTAAAAAAGCAGTTGAGGCAATGTCTCTCTGTTTTTATCCCTTTGATTGAGGCTTTAAAGCATCACGTGGTCCTCAACCTGTAAATTACAACCCCTCAGGGGTCGAACGACCCTTTCACAGGGGCCATATGCCAGACATCCTGCATATCAGGTGTCTACATTACATTTCATAACAGTTGTGAAGTAGCAACAAAAATAATTTTGTGGCTGGGGTCACCACGACTTGAGGAACTGAGTTAAAGGGTGGTAGCATCGGGATGGTTGAGAAGCACTGCTTCAGAGCCTTCCAGAAGCTCACTAGCGTGTGTGGCTTCTTGTTCCTTTTCTGCAGAACTCCAGCTCCACACAAATATTACCACATTTGCCTTCAAGTGATCCTGGCAGGTCCCTTGATCTACTTTACCTCGTTTGCATTCCTCTTGATGACATTATCACCTTTATAACCCATTCGTATGTCAGCTTAAGTCACTAAAACCCACCAGAGCCCCACCACCACCACTTCAAGGTACATGCATGACCCTCCATGGAGCTTGAAAAAGAATCACAAAATCTCTATATAATTACTAAGATCCCTCCTGGATTGGCTTCCTTCCTGTTTCTCTTTAAAGGAACACAGTCCTCTCTTGCCCCACAAACTGGTATCGTAGCTACTTTTTTAACACTATGATATGATACCCTGACAGAGGCAACTTCCCGAAGAGTTTATCTGGGGTTCACAGTTTTGGAGGGTTAGAGTTCCTGGCCTTCATGGTGGAGAGCATGGCAGCAGGCAGACGGATGTGGTGCTGGAGCAGTCGCTAAGAAGAGCTTACGCGTTAATTCACAGGTGGGAGGCAGAGAGAGATGCAAGCAATCTTCAACTTTGAAACTCTAAAGCCTGCCTCCAAAATGACGCACCTCCAACACCATGCCTTCCTAATCTTTCCCAAACAGTTCCACCAAAATTTTTCATTTCTTCCCATGGGTTCAAGTATAGTTTTATTCCAGAATAAATTTTCTCTTCCACTTACAAATTAACAAGATAGTGCCTTCATCTCAACTTCTCTTGTAGCCGGTTTACCTTGACTAAATCAGGGGCTAATGTGGAAAATGCTAACCACAATATCTATTTCCTTTTGCAGTATTTCCTCTAAGTGGGCAAGTTGGGTGGGGGGTGGGCAGGCAGCCTTAATTCCATGCTTTGTGAGTATGGCTGCATGTATATGTGTGTGTGTGTGTGTGTGTGTGTGTGTGTGTGTGTGTGTGTGTGTAAATACATTTGCCTGTGTATGCTCTTCTGGGGGCCAGGAATAGATTTGGGGTGTCTTCCTTTATTGCTACAGTTCTTATTCTTGAGACAAGGCTGCACTGAGCCTGGAGCTTGCCACTTCAATCACCTCTGAGATTCCGGGTGAGACCCTGAGATCCATCTGTCTCTGCCTTCACAGCACTTGGGTTCCAGGCAGATATCACCATGCCTGACTACTGTGAGGATGTGAGAATCCAAACTCAAGTCCTTGTGCTTTCGCAGCAAGCATTTCATCCACTAAACCTCCCTCTAGTCCCAGCTTCATGTCTGCTCAACTCCTTGCAAAGGTCGTGCAGCTGAGACCACAGCCTGCCTGTGTTCCCATCACATAGATGCTACTTTCGGGGGTTGAAATGTAGTCTCAAGCTCATTAGCAGATTGAGGTATATCTGTGTTCTCATATGGTGGAGCAATTAAGAAAGCATGGTCATTCCATACCACACTGGGGAGGATGCCGGGGCTCCTCCCATTTGGTTCTGAGACGTCGCTGTTCAGGCACGAGGTATTTTTTAAAACGTTTTTTATGTGTATTGTGATAACTCATTTTAAAACTGTCTTTTCTAAAGGTTTTCAAATGAAGAAAAATCTTATGTATCTACCCTTCCATTTGCCAATTTCAGCACTTTCATTTGTAAGATCCAAACTTCTGTTATCATTTCTTTTTGCCTGAAGATCTTTTTATAATCCCCTTGAACTGGTGGCTTGCCAGTGGTAAATTTTCCAAACTATTTTTCTATGAAAAACATTTTTTTTCTATTTTGAAAGATAATACATGCTGTTGGATAGTTGTTCATAGGGTTTTTGTTTTTTTCTCGCCCACCACCTTCTGGTGAGGTAAAATGTTGCTCAATTATCCTTTAGTTTATAATAGTTCCTGATCAGAAGTCTGTTGCCAGTTCATTCTGGTTTGAACTGTATGGTTTTCTTTAGCCCCTTATTAGGTTTTCTCTTCATGATTTTCACAAGGTTCTAGACTGTCTTTATGTTTTTTTTTAACTTTGTTGTGTTTGGTATTTATTGATCTTCTTGGATTGAGTTTAAAGTTTTAGCATTTACAGAAAATATCTCCTCCTTCAACTATGTGTGCCCTTACCTGACTCCCAAGACACCCGCGACTTCCTACAATGTTGCTGTCACCGTTTAAGTCTGTCTTGGCATGCTTTTCAAATCACTTCCCTTTTTTCTACTGTATCATTTTCTGTTAGAATGTCAAGGATCTTTCATTTCTGCTACTGTATTTTCACCACTGTGAATTCCGTTTGCTCTCTTGTATTTATTTCCTCGGCCTGCTTCTGCTTTCTTCGTCTTTCTTAGGCATATGACCGGAACCCGCTTGTAAAAGGCATTTCAGTTTTCTTAAGTTCCTTTTAGACTCCTCAGTTCGGGAGTCTGTTTTATTACCTTTGCTCCATATTGCAGACCAGAATGTCACGCCTCCTGAAATGCCTGAAAACTTCTAATTGGCTGGCAGACACTATTTTATGCTTGGAGGTGCACAGCTTTTCAAACTGTATTGGACTCTACTCTGGCATTTGCTTATTTTAAGTCACTTTGGTCTTTGCAAAACTTCTTTTCCAGCACTGTTTTAAGTTCAGCCCCACCACTAGTCCTACATCCTTTTAAGGACTGAATCCCAAAGACCTCCCTTAGATTCTGTCTCCCACCATCACTCACACTACAGACCTCTGTTTGCCCTGTGTGGATTGTGGAAGCTCTTTTGTTTCGTGTAGCCTGGTGCTTCTTCACGTAGCTCAGGAGTTAGGTGCAGATTAGTACACAGCTAATATCTCAGGGGTCTTCTCTACAAGGAAATGCTTGTCTTCCCTGCCACATTGAGACCGCCTGCGCAGAGGGGCTTCCCTCAGGACCCCGGATTGAGCACAAACCACACCCAAACACCTGTTTTCACAGAGAGCCTTTATTAAGCAGGGAAGAAAAGTTAAAGTGGCTGCTTTCTGACTCAGGCACTTTGCAGGTGTAACGTTTAAGAGTAGCAAAAGCGGAGGTCTGCGTTAGGATGAACTAGGGCGTGGTGCTAAAGGAGATAGGGGACCAGAGAGAAGGGGAAGGGGAATTCGTCCCAGAGGAACAAAGGACTGCCCCTGGATAGAGAGGGGACAAACATGGCACATGGGCAAATTCAGTTTATAAAGGTAAAGGGGGAAACCCCATGTTAAGAGGAGGTGTTGATTTTAATTAGGCATGTTAACCTCATGACCCAGAGGGGGCTTCTGTTTGCTAGATATCAGTACTCGGATAACTGTACCTTGGTAGCCGGTCTCAGGAGGAGGAACTGTCCAAATAAGGGAACAGACCTTGGTGACTAGCTTTAGGAATGTAATCTAATGGTTTTTATGGTTTTTAGCAAGGCGGAGGGAACGGGAGAAGGGTAAAGCCTGCCAGAGCCAGGCTGATCATACTCTAGCCGGTCAGAATTCCGTCAGGTATTCCCATCTCCTTCTCCCAGGAAGGCCGCCAAGCTGTGCTGGCGATCCCACCTTCTGGCACTGAAGTACCACTGAATTGTCCATGGGGATTGCTTTACTTCTCTCAGAGCTCACAGGCAAATACTACTTAATGGTGATGGTAGTGGTGGTGTGTGCTGCGTGGGTGTGTGTATGTGTGTGCACTTGGTGCATATAAATAAAATACTTTATGTATAGTAGCTATAACATATTGTGTATATGTATATAATATGTTGTATGTTATATGGTGCATATGTAGGTTATATATTGTGTATATGTATACAATATGTTGTATGCTATATGGTACATATGTAGGTTATATATTGTGTATGTGTATACAATACGTTGTGTGCTATATGGTACATATGTAGGTTATATACTGTGTATATGTATACAATATATGATATAAAAATATGATACTTAATATATTATGTATAATTATACATACATACACTTTGAGGCTGGAGAGTAAATTCAGCTTCTTACTTTTTAATAATTCTTGAACCTCATAAAAAGATTTATCTACAGTATATACCCTTTTGCCCTAGGCTTTCTGTGCGGAATATTGTTTGGACTAGCTGTGTTTTTTCTTGTGGCACTAATTTATTCATTTCCATTACTGCCTCATAAACACAATTAAATAACTAATGTTTTCTTGCTATAGTTCTAGAAACTGCCACGTTCTAAGGATACCACTCGGTACGATCTTGCAGAACGCATACTCTCAAGAAGAACTTCCTCCAAGTAAGTTAAAAAGAATCCACCTTGCGGGGGAAGCTTGTTAAGACTTAGGAAGCTTTCAAAGGGGGTTCATTAATATTGGGAAGCAAACAATTCAGGAAGTCCCTGAAACTGACCAGATACACAAAACCCTTTCCTCCCTGAGCTTATATAAAAACACTGAAGAGCCGGAGACCAGCTGAGCTGCATGGAAGAGACTCTCTCTGACCTAGTAAGCTGCCTCAAAGTGTACAGTGAGCCTTTGTGAGCTGTACCTTTGCTAAGGTAGGCTTCCCGCATTTCAGCAGCTTTGGAGTCACCCCTGCTCCTGTAACCCTTTAGCCATATCACTCTTTGGGTTTTATTAGTAACCCCAATAAAAATAGGTTCAATAAGTTGTGCTGCAGTAATACTCATTATTTTGTTCTGTCATTAGTTTCCCAATCTGGGGTGAGCAGACATTTGCCCTGTTTCCCAGCAATAGTGTTACATGATAGCTGGAAAATTTCAGCAAAATTTAGTTCATTAATCAAAGGCAACACGATTCTTGCTAAAGTTTTCTTAGAATGGGTGTAAGTCCACTGACTTATGTGTTAGCTGAGTGTGTTCATATGTTCTAGTAACAGAGGTAACTATACAGAAACTATATATGGCCCACAGATGTGTACTACCTTTCATTTTTGCATTGTAGGTTTATTCCACAATAGTAGAAAATATTAACAACCTGTAGTAGATTCTAGATATGGATACTATGGCTTATTAAAAGTGATCAGAATATAATTGTTTATCATTTAAACTTGTATATTTCTAATTTTGTGCAGGTAAATATTCAGTGCCGTGTTTGTGTCTTGCTTAACTATTATAAACTATAGAGAACATATTGCATAATTTATAAATAAAATTAATAGCATTTAAATAGGTTTGTAACAGTATGCTATGGGACCGTACTAAATAATCAGTTTCCCTGGATCTGTAGTAGAATTAAGGAGTGGAGATGACTAATGACCCTTGGTGATTATAGGGTTTCCCTTCAGAGAACTGAAGAGGGTCCCAGATTAGATTGTGTTGACAGTTTCACAACTGGAACTATATTGAATAAAATACTGAATAAATTTAGACAATATACTTTCTGTAGCTAAGGATTTGTTTATTCTAGATAATTTGTATAAACTATATCAAAGGATATAGCTAGTAGGACATAGCTAATATTATGGCAAATTCCATAAGAGAAATTCTTATGTTTCTCTTGATTTCTGCCAAATTTTTATATTCATAGCCAACTAATAATTATGATCTATTGCAGTTCCAACCTTACATTTGTCGAAAACATTTACGTATTTAAGACTGAGGGAGATGGCAAAGATCTGTGTGGGAATTTCAGTCAGTGAATTAGTAATATGAATAACTCAATCGTTGAATAAAAACTATTTTTGAATACTCAAAAATATTTTCGCATTATTTTGTGGCATTCAGGAAGTACTAGTGAATTTTCCCTGGGTCCTATGCTTCAATTCTATCTTTGTCATTTCACTACTGTTTCCTGAAGATCTCTGACGACTAAGTCACCTCTTGCTGATGGTCAAAGGTTTCTCGGTACCCTTGGCATCCATTCAAAATTCTTCATCCTGGCATGCAGAGTTCTCTCAGGTGTGATTGTAATATAATTTGCTCATGAAATCATTAAACCTATTTTCATGGGGCTGGGGACATGGTTCAACAATTAAGAACACTTGCTACTCTTGTAGAACAGCAGAGTTTAGTTCCCAACATCCACATGAAGCAGCCTTCAGCTACCTATGACGCCAGCTCCAGGGGATTTGACACCCTTCTTGAAATTCATAAGTGTGCACACACACACACACACACACACACACACACCACATGCATGTGTGTACATACATACACAGACACACAACACAAACACGCACATATGTACATGCAACACATGCCCACACAAATGTGTACATGCATACACAGACACACGCACATATGCACAAGTACATACACAAACACACACACACACACACACACTACCCCACTCACAAAATAAATCTTAAAAGAAAACCTAATTTCATGCACCCAGCATACTATCGAGTTCTGCCTCACCGCCTGAGGCAGGTGAACTTCTACTCCACAAGATCATGTGAAGGCCCAGGTTTTTCCACCCTGTTGTTCAACCTTCGCCTGGCTGATCAGATATGCCATGTGTGAGAAACTTATTTGGTACCATGGCTGCCTTCCAACAGGAGGCAAAGGAGAACATGAAGCAAGGAACTCCCTGCAAAAGTGTTTCATGTCTGTTCTCGTTTCCTTGGGTAGCTCTTACTCCGGGGTTCCAATCTAAAGTCAAGGAAAGCTGGCAAGTGTAACCCTCACTTGGGTGTTCATTACTGTTCTAAAACTCAAACGTGGGAAGGCAGGGCACTGTTCTACTGAAGGTGTAAAACTTAAGATGGGATCTGTGGAATAGATGAGACCTTTTAATACTGTCTCCTCTGTCGTTTTGGATACTTGTCCTAGCTGTTTCTCTAGAAGTAGTACAATAAGCAAAAATTCCCCTGTATTTTCACCTAACTAGTAAACATTTTGGTTCTAAGCCCCTAATTTTAACATTGTAATGGAGCAGAAGTATATTCTCTGACTATACACATAAACTCACCTTCCACTCCCAGCTCGTTCTTTTTTTTGAAAACTAACAGGAAATATTAGTCGACAACAAGAATTCATGTATTCATAATTAACTGTGCTTTCTGGATTCCATGATGTGAAGTGTTGTGTCCATCCTCCATGTTCATGTTACACTGAACTCTGTCATGCAGCTTCTATGAGGTCCCCATCTGTGCTGGGGTAGGACTTTGTAATAGTGTTGTTGTTCTAGGGCCATTCATGCTCTTGTGACTCCTCACAATCTGTAAGGTGGCCCTAGTGAAAAGAAACAATCCTATCCTCAGAACAAGCCCCAGCTCTCGGGAGCCTCAAATCCAGCTACAGGTTTTGATGAACTCATGCTTCCTCCTGCAGATGCTTCAGCAGTAGAGGAAAAATCCTGTTCACTCAATGGCCGGACACTACCTCAAGAACTGAAAGTAAGCTATCTGAAGGCACTGAGTGATACCCATATGTCAGGGAGCCTGAGTTTCACCTACCGTATCTCTGGAGTCAAAGTCTGTTGAGGAGATGGGGAAGATTTGATGCTGATGGGCTAAAATGAGAAGACAGCAGAAGGCTTGATTCAGTCAGTGACCCACTCTTGGTGGATGAAAGCAGATTGGATTAACTGGGAATAACCTTGGAGCCTTACAGCCCTAAGCTTAAGGTCAGCAAGTACATCAACCTCTGGAGGCTCCCGTCGGCTCTCACTTTGGCAGAATCCTAGCACCTCGGAGCTACAGAGGACTCTTTGGCATCTACACTCCAGCAGGGCAATGAGTGAATACAGAGACTGGGGTCAGCCTTTACAGATCTCAACACTGTGGTTACTTCCTCTAGTCCCAGTGCCCTTGGAAGACGCATACCCAGCTAGAATATTAGGAATCCCAGGGAGGTACAATCTGGGTCATCTTGAGAGATGGGAATACAAACCCAATCCACAGGCTGGAGAGTGAAATGTGATCATCAGATGCTTCTGGTACAAACAGAAGTTACTAAAGGGAAGACAACGATGGCAGACAGCAAACATGTGTCATCACAGCCTCATCACTGACAAAAATTATAGGAAATATGAGTATTCAAGTTTAATCAAACCTCTTATCCTACTGTGCCTATAACTGGCCATGTTCAATTTTCCAAGGCCCATAAAGAAGAAAGGCTAACCCACAGGGCTGTCTCAGCTGTGACTTTTAACACTACACTTCTAGGCTGTTTTCATTTGGTTACATTTCTCTTCATGCATCCATCATTTTAGCAGTCCTGTATGTTTTTATTAGTTCTTTGAGAGCGGTGTACAACATGTATAGATCATATTCACATTCACCTCCTCCCCCCGGCTTTTCACAGAGTCACGCCCCCATTCCCTACCAACACCCTTCGTATCTTTTCATCTTGCAATTTGTAGTGGCCAAATAATCCTGGATGTGTGTCCTTCCCCTGAAGAGTGGTCTATTTATCAGGGGCTACACTATTAGAGAAAACTCTCTCTTCTTACAGCAGCTAACAACTGCCAGTAGCTCTAGAGCTAGGGGTGGGCTTGGTGCCCAACTCGCCATGCTGGGGTTTTGTCTGGCTTGGGTTTGCACAGGGTTTTTGCTTCCTGCCCCAGTGACTGTGCATTCATACATGCAACCGCTCCTCGGTGTCCAGAATATGTTTTCTTGTGGTCATCCACCACCTTTAGCTTTTACACACCTTGGGCCCCTCTTCTGCAATGCTGCCTGGGCCTTAGGGAGAGTGTGTTCCTTTTAGAGCTGAGAATTTTAGTCTCTTTTCCTCTGCACCTTGACCAGGTGTGGGTCACTGTATTTTTTATACCTCTTTATCATTAGGGAACCTTTACTTCCCACATTTATTGCTTAATATTTTAATTATGTACAATGGATTTTTATCATACTCAACCCCACAATTCTTCCCAGTTTTTCCCTCTTCTCTAGCCACTCAATTTTGTGCCTTTTTAAAGACCAATCATTACCAAATTGTGCTGTCCAATTATTTCTTGGTTTTGTGGCCCTCTACTGTAGTGAAGACAATGTACAAGGAGCTACACTCAGAGAAACTGAGCCTCTCCCAGATGCTATCAACCACAAGTAGCTCCTACACTACAGATGAGACTTGACGCCCAGCTCCCCTCTCCACACAGGGGTTTGGTCTCTCTTGGGCTTGCAGCAGTCTCGTGCACGTTATCACAAGCACCGTGAGCTTCTCTGTGCAGCTTCCCTGCTGTGTTCAGAAGACTCTGTTTCCCTTCGGTCATCTACTGCTGCTACCTCTGGCACTCTTTCTACCTCCTCTTCCACAATGAACCCTGTGAGCTTTGGGAGGAGGCAGTACTATAAGTATGTCCTCTTTAGGGCTGAACATTCTGTAGGTCTCTCCGTCTCTGCAGCCTGCCCAGTTGAGTATCTCTGCGTCAATACACTTCCACCACAAATACAAGTTTCTCTGATGAGAATTTAGAGATGAATTAATGTATTGGTTAATGAGAAGTAACTAGTAGTTGGTTTAATACTGTTCATTTAGCAGGATAGCAATAGGTTCTTTCTAGTGACTATGACCTGCCTAGTCACAGGCTCCTAGCCTGATAACCATGCATGTTTCTCTCCAGTGCACTCCCAGGCAAGCTGTTTCTCATGATTCAGTTGTGAAGTGCTTCCCACAGCCCTTTCAAGTTTGTGTATTGAAGGCTTCGTCTCCAGTATGTGACATTAGGAGGCGCCAGAGACTTTAGGAGATGAGGCCTAGCTATAGGAATTAGACTGCTGGGGTCATTTTCTTGGGAGTTACAACCTGTTGCAGGTCCAGCTCTCCCCCCCTTCCCTGCTGCTATGAGATAAGCAGCTTCCTCCTCCCCCTAAGGTTTCACTGTAACCCCCAAAGAAACAGAGCCAGCTAACTGCATGCTGAAAGCTCTGAAGCAATAAGCAAAAGGCCAACTTTCTGCTCTGAAGTTGTGCCATGTGCTTCATCACAGCCTAGCCGAAGTCCAGTGTCTTATCTCAAAGATCGTGGAACAGAAAGGCTCAGCAACCAACTTAAAACATTTCAATCACCCTGGTCTCAAATTCTAAACAAAGCAAAAGGCAAGCAAAGGGGATGTGGTTAAGTGAATGCTTTTCAGATAGGGTATAAGTAAATGAAACGGGCGTCAGTTTACCTATTTCAGCCCGATAGATACCAGACCCACGCACTTTTAGGATCACAAAAAACTCCTTAAAGTAAGAAAGTAGATGTAATCTGTCCTGGTTGCATTTTTCTTTATTCCCAGTAGGTAAAACATAGCCATTGAGTATTATTTTTAGCAGAGAAATGACCCAGGAAGGCTGGAGTGCACTAGACAAGACATAGAGGAAAAGCCTTTATTATCCAAGCCTTGGAGTCAGAAGGTGCCCACACGGTGACTTAACCCGGATGGATGGTGAGTGTGATAGCTAAACTTGGAGTCAATTAGCACACAAGCTGCAGGTGCCCCAGTGAGGGGTGTTCTCGACCACACTATGTAAAGCAGAAAGACCTAAGTATGGTCAGCACCTTGCAGCGGCAGCACAGGTATGAAAAGACTGGGAAGAAGGAATACTCTGCTCTTTACCTGCTTCTCTTCACTCTCGTTGGCATGTTACGCCGTCCTGTTGCCATAGCCCTCCTTCGCCAGCGTTAGAGCTGCCTTCTTTGAGATTCCAATGTAACTCAAGAGCAGTAGCTCTCCAAGAATCCTCTGAGCTTTGGGGGATAGTGCAGGGCTGCTGAGACAGCCAGCAGTGGACTGAGCCACTAGCGGAGTCCCAGCCGATAGTGTAAGATGTTCACTGTAAGACTACACAGACCAAATCCTGAAAAGCGCTGTAGCGCTTGCTTATATAGAACATGTTTGAGAGGATGGGAGTGGGCATTTTTAGATGTCATTAACGCTCATCAATACTGTTTGACTTTCACTGGGCTCTATCAAACCAATCCAATAAATCCTGCTTTAATTTATATATCTGTTCCATCCGTTCTGTTCCTTTAGAGAACCCTTACTAATACAACAGGATCGTAAAGTCTAGAGCCAAGGTGTGGACTGGAATGAACAAAGTGTGTGAAACCAAAGCAAGCACTACCTCCCACTAGGAGACTGGGAGTGTTGGATGCTTATCCATAATAATGATACAGACATCAGTCTGTTCAACAGCTGCAGGTTTGGACCGAATTTCCCAGTCAGTGGAGAGGTGGGACATATAGAACAGCACTGGGAATCACTAATGGATAGCCAATTTCAGGGGGACAGTAATTAGCCCAGAAGGAGCGTCATCCTACGTTATGAACTCTTCTTTGCTGTCTGTAGATCAGCAACAAGCACTCTTGCTCCATCACGAGCTTCACTGATGCTCTCTTCAGCACATCTTACAAGTTACATTATCTATCTTTCACTCTTTTAGGGATTCTGTCCCGTTGCTTTGTCCAGCATCTATCTTTGAAAGGTCCTATTGATGGGTTCTTAATCAAGTCAGCCTTCTTACGACTTCTGAGTTTTATGAATCCTGTTCATTTTCTTGCCAATTACGTGAGAACTACATCGCCGATGACTGCAAACTCAAATTGCAGGGAAAGTTAAACGTAATGTATGCAGTTAAGTAAAAAAAAAAAAAAAAACACTAATTCTTTTAGAAATTGTGATTGTACTTGAGTTTATATAGTTACATTCAGGAGAACCAAATGGTACTTAATTGTGCATCTAACTTTTGTCATCATGTTTATAATCTTATATCAAAAGAGAGACAATAGTAGACACTTTTCAAAGTAAATCAGAATGAACACTGTAATTTAAATACATATTTACAGTTATGACATAAAATAGATCAGAACTAAAATAAGAAAGAATGCATCCATAGTTCTTATTCAAGAACTCAAGTCTTTCTGCCGTTTTACTATTAACCTTCACGGAACACGTCTACTGAAGCTGTCCACAAGTACTTCTCCTTTCAGCTGGCGACTTATCATGGGGATCGGTCCCTGACACAAACTGGAGGATTCACTTATGTGGAACACACTTGAGAGGACGGTACTCAGAGGTCGGGCCATGTTCGGATTTCATTATCTCTCATCTGCACTCTGTTTCACCTTCATTAGACTCTGAAGACCTGCGCACTTCATGGTTACAGGGAATGGCAAAAGAGTAAAACATTGAAATGATGACCTGAAGTTAGTGGTCCTTCTGAAGGAAAATCTATGCAACAAAAGCCAAATATTGCCACTTCTTAGACTATGCTTCACCCGTTGCAGAAATAAATTCATACAAGAGAAAATCACAACTGATGGGGTTCTCGGTTCTATCAATTAAAAGACTCTCCTGTAGAGTCCAGAAGTTTTCATAACAGAAAGTAACGGGCCACAGTAAGGTCTAAGACAGGGGGACTGTTTGGCTTTCTTAGATGAAGTGAGAAACAGACTAAGGAAAGGAGAAAATTAGAATGGACAATCAT